CAGGGGAAATGGGGTCTGGCAACTGAAGCCCAGGGACAGGCTACCCAGCTCCTGCAGCAAGGAGCCCCCTCAAGACACCTGTATCCAAACAACCCCCTGGAGCATGGCTGGCTCTGCCACGGCATCCATTAGATTTATGCCAGCTGGGTTTGAGAACCTTAATAAACGAACAAACAGACCTGTGTGTGTGGTTGTCTGGTAAACCACCCAAATGTTGCCTGCTATTCCCACATTGCAAACGGGAGGCAATGGGGAAGGCTAACAAATCAAAGGTCCGTATAGTTAAAGCCATGGTTTTCCCAGTAGTGATGTATGGTAGTGAGAGCTGGACCATAAAGAAGGCTGATTGCCGAAGAATTGATGCTTTTGAACTATGGTGCTGGAGGAGACTCTTGAGAGTCCCATGGACTGCAAGAAGATCAAACCTATCCATTCTGAAGGAAATCAGCCCTGAGTGCTCACTGGAAGGACAAATCGTGAAGCTGAGACTCCAAGACTTTGGCCACCTCACGAGAAGAGAAGACTCCCTGGAAAAGACCCTGATGTTGGGAAATATGGAGGGCACAAGGAGAAGGGGATGACAGAGGACGAGATGGTTGGATGGTGTTCTCAAAGCTACCAGCATGAGTTTGACCAAACTACGGGAGGCAGTGGAAGACGGGGTCACGAAGAGTCGGACACGACTGAATGACTAAACAACAACAAATCTGCACCTTGCAAGAAGTTCGAATTCTGAGTTGCACAACTGGGATGTCTATTAAGAGAGAAAGCCTGAGCAGCTGAGAAGAACCTGAGCAGCAGGTTAGGAGGGAAACTCAGGATTCCTTGCAATTACCGTATTTTTCGCCCTATAGGATGCACTTTTTCCCCTCCAAAAATGATGGAGAAATGTGTGTGCGTCCTATGGGGCGAATGCAGGCTTTCGCTGAAGCCTGGAGAGTGAGAGGGGTCGGTGCACCGACCCCTCTCGCTCTCCAGGCTTCAGGAAGCTCTGCGCAACCCTCGGGAGACCGGCTCCGAGGGTTGCGCAGAGCTGCCTGCAGTCCCGGGCTCAGCGCACTTCTCCCCATCGCCAGCCCCACAAGCTCGGGGGACAGCGGGGAGGCGGAGCGCACCTTCCCACTGTTCCCTGACCTGGTTCTTCCAGCCCTGCACCTGGGGGGGGGGAATTAAAATTTTTTTTCTTTATTTCCCCCCCAAAAAGCTACGTGCGTCCTATGGGCCGGTGCGTCCTATGGGGTGCAAAATGCGGTATTAATCTTTATTCTGCTTCATCTCCCTTTCAAAGCAGGTTATGAATCACACAGTGTTATTCATAGAGGAAGACAGATATTTATCTTACAAGCACCTCAGCGTGGTTCCCCTCCCACACACTTTTAAGTTCACAACCGCCCTCTGAGGTAGGCAAGGCTGAAAGCAATGACTGCTCTGACACCAATTAGCAAGCTTGGTGGCTTTCGTGGACTCCCAGTCCAATATTCTAGCCACTGGTTCTCAGAAGGGTAGTGGTCTCCCAATTCCCTGGAGATCTTTAAGCAGAACCTAGATTTCCTGCATCAAGTGGGGGTGGGGATGTAAGTTTAGCTGGCCTACAAGGAATCCTCTACCTATAGGATTCTATGAAAAGACAAAACACATTACTTTTCCAAATTTGGAACAGACTAAAATGGAGCAGCTATGTATTTGGTGCCCCAAATCCATTCAGAAATATTCACATATTCTCTCTCTCTCTCTCTCTCCCCCACCCCACTGGAAAACTGTTTGTTCACTATGCATTTGAACACTGCATAACATATCCGAACCAAATTTTGAATGATGATGATTCCTAAGGTGGAGGTTTCAGTAAACAGCATCTGTCATGGATGCTTTAGCTGAGACTCCAGCATCACAGGGGGTTAGACTAGATCAGGGGCCAGCAAACTTTTTCAGCAGGGGGCCGGACCACTGTGCCTCAGACCTTGTGGGGGGCTGGACTATATTTTTTGGGGGGGAAATGAACGAATTCCTATGCCCCACAAATAACCCAGAGATGCATTTTAAATGAAAGCACACATTCTACTCATGTAAAAACAGGCTGGTTGCCGGACCACCTGCGGGCTGGATTTAGAAGGCGATTGGGCCGGATCCGCCCTCCGGGGCTTAGTTTGCCTATCCATGGACTAGATGATCATTGAGGGTCCCTTTCAACTCTACAATTCTGTGATTTGGGTGCTGTTTCGAATCGAGGGGGCAGGCTGAACCTTTCACAACTGCACTGATTTTAGCAACTGATTTCAAAACTGCCCTGGTGGTAGTTCTCCCCCCACCCCCAATTTCTTAGAATTCCCAAGCAATGCTGGGTAAAAGGCCGCTAATCATTTACATCTGTTAGCTGCCCCATAAACACAAATTCTCAGGGTGGAAGAAAAGACATACTTCATGCTGTTTCTGAAAGTTAAAGGGGGAAACGCTGCTCAGGAATGCTTGAGCCAAAGAACTCAGAGCTACCACCCTCTTAGTTCCCACCCTCCTAAAAAAAGACAGCAAAACCAGATACTAAGCCTCCTCAACTGACAGGCAGATTCCCTCTCCGATTTCGTTTGTCCCACAACAGCTACCTTCTTTGTCGGATCCTGACCAGGAATATTTCTGGAACGACTTATTGGACGGGAGAGGATCCATTTCCAGCACCTTGTAGATCTGCCCAAAAGCTGACTGTCTCAAGGCATGCTGCAAGAAAGAAAGGTTATTTTCAAGCCCCATTGCTCCACAAGCTTCTCCTAAACACATATCGGGCTACATTCTGCCCCGCAGGCTGATGCCCACCACCCAGGTAACGGAGGCATGAGAAAAGCACATGAAGAGAGAGAAAGCCCCACTCCCACCAGCAAGCAACACCTGCGCTGCAGGCAAGACAGGTCCCAACCCAGTTTTTTCTTATGGGAGAAGACTCTTGAGCTCTGTAGGAAAAGCAATCTGCTCCTCCTCCCCATTCCCTGACTCCTGCGAGGAAGCCAGTTTTATGACACTTGAGGGCTACATATTTCAGAACCCACTCTATTTTTGTGCCTGCAATTATTTTAAAGCTGATTTTAATGTTGTATTTTAAATTGCTGGAATCTGCCCTAGGACCTAATGGTGAAGGATGTAGGAAATCGAAAAATGCCAGTTCCAATTTGTAGGTAGGCATTCAGGTTTAGTATTAAAACTCCACAGAGGGAAAGGCCCACTAATTTCACACCCAAACCACTCCACCGTCAGTCAATTTGTACCTCACCCCAAACCAGTTCATTTTTAATTAATCCAGTTGACCACCCAACAGATCCTGCTCTGAATAAATGAAATTCACCTTCAAGTACTCACACAGTCATCTCAAGATACAGCCACCATAAACTAATCCCACTGCCCAACAGATAATCTGCCTAGTAACACAGATTACCCCCCAGTTCAGTTTTCCCAAAACCCATTAACCACCGAGAAGCACTCAGAGAAAGATTCAGGGCCCACAGCCCACAAGGCCAGGTTTATCAACTCCCCTGGAAGAGGGAGCCATCTGTGCCTGCTTCCAAGGCCCAGAAGGAGGGAAAGGAAGGAAGAGTCCATCTTGAATACACATATTACCCAAACCGTACAACTTAAAATGCTGGTTTTCTAAAACAAGTACAGTCATACCTCATGTTACGTTTGCTTCATGTTACGTTCTTTCAGGTTATGTCCCACAGCGACCGGGAAGTACTGGAAAGGGTTATTTCTGGGTTTCGCCGCTCGCGCATGCGCAGAAGTGCAAAATGACATCACACGCATGTGCAGAAGCGGTGAATCGCAACCCGCACATGCACAGACATGCCACTGCGGGTTACGCTCTTTTCATCTTGCAAACTGGCCTCCAGAATGGATCCCATGCAAGGTGGTATTACTCAGTTAGGATGCAATTACCGTATACAATGTGCAGGATGCTGGTGTTTTCCATAGCCAACGTTAATGTCACAGGCTACCTTGGTTGTTGTTTTTTGTATTCATAGAACACTGGTCAGGAAGCCAATGTGCTTATTTTGTTTTTGACCCAAATGAAAGCTCTGCACTAAGGGTTTTCCTAGGCTTGCCATACATCAGGAAAATTCCTGACATGTCCTGGTTTTCGGGTGTAAAGATGGCATCAGGGGTGAGTTTTGCTGAATTGGCAAAATGTCAGGGAAAACCCGGATGTATGGTAACACGATGGAAAAAGCAGCAGAAACAGCTCAAAATATGGCGACTCTAGTTTTCCAGCCACTTGTGGCCACAGGAGTTGAACGAAAGGTGGTCCAGGATGCTCTCCCACCCAGGCGTCTGGCACATTTTACCTGGGCACTGTGGGTAATGGCTTCTCTCTGTTGAACAGTCAGATTGGACAAGGCATCCGTTGGCTCCCGCTCACATGGATCATGCACACCAGGCCCACCTGTGGGGCAAGAAAGCAGGACAGCTCAGATCAGCACCAAGGACTTTAGAACCAGGGACTGGGGATCCCTGGCCCCTTCCAGGTGCTGTTGTGTCTGCAACTCTCTGCAGCCCCAGCTAGCAGGGCCAATGGTCAGGGATGGTGGGAGCTGCAGTTCAGCAACCCTGGCGACCCATCGTAGCCCTGGGCTTTCTTCTTTTCTGAACTGCTGTGAGGACAAAATTATTAAGGAATCCAGGTAGTTTCAGCAGAATAGGGGCAGGGGGAATGGCCGCCCAAAAGCACCTGGGTGGAGGTGGGGTTTCTCTAAATGAAAATGATAAGGGCCCAATTTCTCTATTATTCTAGGACTGTTCATTCTGCCATAAGCTGATGCTTTTAAGCCAGCTTCCGCTGTGTTTTGTGGGATCTGACCATGATTACTTGAAGAACGCGAGTCCTTGTGTCTGCTCAGTGGGGCAGGAAACAGGGATACCAATGGGAAGGATGGATGGAAAGCAAGGAAAGTCTACACTGAAGCCTTTACCCAAGGATCTTTTCTCACAGTGAGAGATCAGGAGCAGACCTTGGGGGAGGGGAAGGACTCTAGGTCAGTGGTAAGAGAATCTGCTTCCACCGCAGAAGGACTTAGGTGCAATTCCTAGCAGATCCAGTTCAAAAGACCAGGCACCAGACCATGGGGAAAGACTCTCCTTTCTGCTGCCAGCCAGAGCGGACACCACTGGAGTAGACAAAGAGTCTGACCAGATATAAGGAAGCTCCCTTAGTTCCACTACACTCTTCTTAATGTAGAGAGAAGGGAAGAAGCAAATCTAAAGCCGGCTCTCCCCACAAGGAGAAAATAATGTCCAAATGAACCAAGGCATTTCAAAACCTATCGTAATGTAAGCGAAAGAGCCCCTCTGTGTTCAAGCACCACCTATTTCAAAACAGAACAAAGACTGCAAAATGGTACAGATCGCCCAATAAAACCACTGCGTTATTAAGAGACTTTCAGTGGTGCATGTTTGTTCCTTCCAAAGGTGTTAAAACAACACTCAATTGATTCACTTGCTTGGGGAAATACTACTTTAAAAACTCACAGGACTAGGACTGAGGCTGGCGCACAAGTAACAAACAGGACAGGTTGAAGAGATGTGTGCCGAGGCATGTACCACCCAGCAGCTCTTACCAGGTAGCAGGATCCCTGATGCCAAACACTCCATCACTCGCCGCAGAGCTTCACCGGCACCCAAGGGTCTATTGCACGTGCCTATGGCTTTCTCACAAATGAGCTCCAGTGGCTAGAAGACATTGAGATCCCTGTCAGTATGAATACCACCCATGGGGAAGAGGCAATGTTTGTTTGACACTTGGGTGCTAGGTTTTCTACTTTCATTCTGCATCAAGGAGTGGGGATTGTAAGTGTGTGTAAGGGAAGGTGGTGTACGCTTTAAAATGTTTGCGTACCAGGAAATGGTGGCATGAACTGTGCATTAATGAACTGTGGGGTTGAATGTTTAAGGAAGGAGCTGCGTGCAATGCCTGGGCAGACAAAGGGGACAAGAGGGATCACTCACAGCAAGGATGGGGAATCTGTGGCCCTCCAAATGGGTGTACGACTACAACTTCCAGCAGCCCTAGCCAGCATGGCCAAGAGTCAGGGATGATGGGAGCTGTAGTTTAGCAACATCTGGAGAGGGACAGGTTCCTCATTCCTGAGCCACAGACTGCTCTTCATGCCCAAGCCCTGGTTAAATGAATGGGAGCTACATCAATTACTATCCATTCCAATGGGCTTTTTCATAGGAGAAATCCCCAAATGGATTGTGTCTGCGGCAAAAGTAATTCAATCCACTTCCCACAAGGGTATCAGAAGATCCATGTCGAACTGTGCAAACAGTTATAGCTCTGTTTACTAAGGCAAGTGGCCCAAGCGAAGGGCACTTTCTCCTGACGTGCAGTCAGATTACTGCAATGTGCAGAGCTGCTTCTGAAGATGGTTCGGAAGCTTCAGCTCGCGCCGAATCCAGCAGCCAAGCTGCTCACCAGGGCAAGATGGCTTGAGCTCATAACGCCAACCCTGGCCCAACTGCACTGGCTGCCAATTAGTTCCCAAGCCCCATTCCAAAGTGCTGGTCTTGACCTATAAAGCCTTATGCAACTCGGAACCACAATAACTTAAGGACTGTCTCTCCTTATATGAACCAACTCAGATCCCATGATCATCATCTCAGGTCCTTCTTCAAGTTACCCCTCCATGGGAGGTCTGGAGAGCAGCAACACAAGAATAGGCCTTCTCAGCAGTGGCTCCCTGTTTGTTGAATGTTCTCCCTAGGAAGACTTGCCTGTTGTCTTCCTTACATATCTTTAGATGCCAGCCAAAAACATTCCCCTATAACCAGGCCTTTCAACTATCTGTGACCTTTTACAAGTTATGTTTTTAATAAAGAATGATTTTATTTTATTTTTAAATCCTCAATACTCTTTGGAATGAAGGAAATGATGAGCTTGTAATCTCTCTTTCCCCCACCATGCAATTTAACAACCCTTTTCCAACTGGTGGGGCTCAATTTCATTCCAGTACTCACCCATCCTTTCAGCGGCGCCCAAGTGTGGACTCTGTTGCACAAATCTCGCAGAATACGCAGCACAATCACACAGGACTTTAGTCCATTTGCCCTTGCCTAAAACAAACAGAATTGTTCCAATCCACTTGAAAAATGCCCAGAATAAGCAGTTGTTGTTTTTTAAAGCAAGCCTCTGTGTTTTGTTTTTAATGTACAGGGATATAAGGAACACTCTTTTACATACAAACATGCATAACAACAATATGACAGTAAAAAAAGTTACCCAAAACAAGGGGGCGGGGGTAGAATTGCTTTCTTTTTTTTTAAAACAGGAGGCAGGATAAGAAAAGGAAGAAAGAATTTTTTTAAAAAGCAGCATTATGACATCGCTTTGTAACCATTCCAGACCATCACATGTGAGAAGCAAGTGGCTCACAGATCTGCAATATCTCAGCTGTTGAGTAGAGAAGGGGACTGAAAACACTAAAATATAAAAATAAAAAAGGCGGCATTTCTGATGTGTTTCAAAATAGAAAGAAAGAAAGAAAGACAAAAAGTAAAATGGGGAAAGCAGCAACTTCTACAATAAGGTAAGAACGAAAAGCCCAACCTGGAACCATTTGGCATGCCGCAGAGACGCCAAAGCATCAAGGCATTTTTGCCTGTCGAGTAAGTCCGGAGGGTCTTTCATCGGAACACTGTCTACTGGGAAAAGGGGAATATAAAGAAAAACAGAGACAGACACCATTTGACCAAGGGGGTTTCTGTCACAAAAACACAGAAGACTTGGCAGCATGAAGAGGGGGGTGGGGGACTTAATAAGGCTCCCAGAAGTCCTTTTGATTCCACCCCAAATTTTATTTTCTTCTCCCAACACTGCAAAATGACATTTCATAAAATAAACGAAGCCAATTTTCGAAATAGTAAATATGTGTCCATGTAAAAGAAGGCATTTTTCCCCCAATTGGCCACAGTGAATCTGGGATCTTATTAATTTTTTTAATTTAAAAATGTAACACATTGGGGGCAGACCATAAAAAGTGTGACGCTTTGCATCATCCCTGCTAAGACTTTTGGAGTCGAATGGAAAATAAAACCAGAAGAGATTTACAAAATATTCAGCACATCCTGGCGCCTGGGAAGGACTTTGGCAGTTCCCCTCTCTCTGAATGTAGTGATCAATTCTTTATTATTCTCACCCCAGCGTCCCCCCTTCCAATTTCCAGGGAGCGAGGTTGGGATGTTTAACAATGATCAGATATTGCCATTAAAACCCCAGGAGCCAAGAAACTCTGTGCATTTGGCAACTGGACAAATGTCTCAGCCAGAGCTGCAACCCAGATGCAGTCACAACTTGGCAAGACAGCAACACCTCTATTGACGTTTATGCTCTTTTTGCAAAAAAAAACCACCATACTTTTTTGCAGCAATTAAACATGTTTTAGCCAATTGCAACTGGGCAATCCACAGCATCTTTATTTTTTCAGCACAGGGAAATTCACATCCACAAGGATTCACTTCTCTTTTTAAAGCCACACCACCTTAAAGCTCAGATGGCTTTAAAGGGGAATTAGACAATTTGGCTGAAGGAAAAAGGCAAGGTTATTAGTGACAACTAGTCCCAATGGCTGCATGGAAGTTCTGGATTCATAGGCAGTATTCCTCTGAATATGAACCACTTGGGACCATGAGTTATTGCACTCACATCCATGTATAGGGACACCCCAGAGGCATCCACTTGGCCACTATGGGAAGCAGAACACTGGCCTCGGTCCAGTAGACCTGAAGGAGCGTCTCCACCCCATTGTTCTGCCCGGACACTGAGGTCCAGCGCCGAGGGCCTTCTAGCGGTTCCCTCCCTGCGAGAAGCCAAGTTACAGTGAACCAGGCAGAGGGCCCTCTCGGTAGTGGCGCCCGCCCTGTGGAACGCCCTCCCTTCAGATGTGAAGGAAATAAGCAGCTATCCTAGCTTTAAAAGACATCTGAAGGCAGCCCTGTTTAGGGAAGCTTTTAATGTTTAACAGACCACTGTATTTTAATACTTTGTTGGAAGCCGCCTAGAGTGCCTGGGGAAACCCAGCCAGATGGGTGAGGTATAAATAATAAATTATTATTATTATTATTATTATTATTATTATTAGGACTTTGATATGATTGGGCAGAAATTTTTTTACATTCACAGGAAATATATGAGATGACTGTGTGGGTCTCAAATATTTGTATGGGCAAGGGTCATGTCAATACCACACTTCAGAGCACATGCACAAGATCCCAGCTCAATTTCCAGATAATTTTTTTGGTGGAGTGGAGTATGTTTCTTCCCAGAGATTTCAAGACCTGTGGTAAGGAGGGAGGGGAAGCTGTGGCCTACCTGCTGCTGCAGGTCAACAGCTCAAACCATCCCTGACACGCTAGCTGGGTTGGCAGGAGCTGGGAGCTCAGCAGCGACCCTGAAGTAAACAGGAGCATGCTAAACGGATCAATATATGGGGGTCATAGTTCAGTGAGAGCACCTGCTTGGCATGCAGAAGGCATCAGGCCTAATCCTGACCATTGCCAGTTAAACGGTTCTGTGTGAACCATCCAGAGTGATGGCTAGCCAGAGTAGCCTGCATTGGGCTACCTGGGCTAACGCAGCACAAAGCAGCTTCACATACGCAAAGCAGAAATGGTTGTATGCTTTGGCAGGGGCCAAGCTGCGCTGATAGTCATATGCAATATTTTGGAGCTCCAATAAAACAGTCGTCCAACATCTGGGCAAAAGCTGTCCTGATGCACTGGGCTGCCCACTGTCAGAGACAGGTGATGGGGGGAAGTCAGGAGCCTTGGATTTCAGCACCACGGAGAGGGACCATGGTGTGAGTTTCGGGACCATGACTCCTGTAGCTGAGCCAGAACATCAGCAGGTTCCTGCAGCAACTTGCAGATTGATATAGCCAGGGCCAGGGGTTCATGGGGCAGAGCCCCACACCTTGAACTCTGTATCTGGCAAGGTGAAGGCCTAGTGCCTTATTCTGCTGCCAGGGGCTTCTTCTAGGTACTGGAGTTTCAAGCTGTGGAAATATTGTGCATGTTATGTGGTGTTAGAAATCTCCCAGGCGCA